ATTTATTTTCTATTATTATTCTTCCTTTTTTATTAGTATTATTAGTTGTTTATTTTTATTTATTTATTCCATATAAAAATGGACTACTCCATCTTTCAAGTAGATGTTAAGTAATGAAGTGTTAGGTCAAACAACTTTAATTTGTACCTGATGATTACTATGTGCATGAAACTTTAAGTAGCATCGAGCAGTGAGGAACTGATTTATAATTTGTCTTCATTTATTCACATACATACATACATGTATATATATATATATATATATATATATAATAAAAAATTGACTTTCTGCTATCAGTTTCACCTGCGGATCATCAGGCAATAAAATTTTAAAAAATGAGCATATGAATACTTTCACTTAATTTCCTTGGCTTGCTGTTTTTGTGATATTTTGTCTCAATTTTTTTTTTGTATATGTGTATGTATATATGTGTGTGTGTGTGTGTGTGTATATATATATATATATATATATATATATATATATATATATATATATATATACACACACACACACACACACACAGCAAAACCCACATACAAGGGGCACTAAAAAGTTCCCAGTCCAACTAAGCAGTCATCCTCCACACCACCCCACCCTACCACACCCCTAAAAATATAATGTTTGTTCCTTTTATCAGATTTTAGGAAGTGGCTGGGCCAATATCATTTCAGCACTCCCTTGTATATGTTTATTTTGTTTTTGTTTTTTTTTTAGTTTCTTCCCTCCAGAAGTATTAAACAAAAGCTATTCGGGTTGAAATTGCTTTGGTGTTTGTATTTTTGCCCAATGGTCTTTATAGATTACTGGCATAAAAATGAATATGTCAGTTCTTAGTTCATGTCATACTGTAGAAAAGCCTTTTTTCATTCATGTTGCAATATTTATACACTGAACTGTGCCAAATTATCATAAAGCAAATATATCAACATAGTATGTTGCATTTTTTTTTTTATCTCATTAAGTTTCTGCTTCATACTTAACCCCTTCCCTGGCATAGATGTGTATATACATTGTTACCAAAAGTCTTTTTAATAAACACATCTAAAACATAATGTTCAAAAACCAGCTACAAACATATTTGTATGTTGATCTTTATTCTTTTTATGCTCTTCTGAGTTTAAAATGAGTCCAATTGTCAACTCATACAACTGGTAGAGGTGTTAACCACCACTCGACTACTTCAAGGTGCCTCGGTTTCTTAGTTCAGTCAGTTATGTGCCATGCATGATACATGATTGACGAGGCAGATTTTTTTCCCACAGTAGGTTGCCATTTCTTTCTGCGGTAGATCATTTGCCATCCAAGGCTATAGAACCCAGTCTGTCCTGCTATTTACACATAGCTGGGAGGAGAAGAAGAGGATTCATACCTTTCCCAAGTGCATTAGTATATTCGACTGGAATTTGAACTCGGCTCTCCGATTCCTCAATCCGAGCTGCTATCTATAACTCCACCATGTCTCCTGTTTTTTAGTTACTATATTAAAACCAAATAAAAAAAAAAAAAAATGAATACCAAGAGGAGTTTGATACATTCAACCATTTTTTCCAGCTTCTTTAGCAATATTTTCATTAACCCCTTCCCCACCAAATATTTTTTTTGGATAAACGTTTCATATTCAGACAAATTTTTTTTTATTTGTTTTTAATATAGTTTCTTAGTTACTATATTAAAAACAAATAAAAACATTTGTCTGAATATGAAACGTTTTTCTTAAAATAATTGGTGGGAAAGGGGTTAATGCAAACATTGCTAAAGAAGCTGGAAAATGGTTGGATGTATCAGACTCCTCTTGCTATGCATTCTCTTTACAAGATACAGATTAGAAACAAAAATGTCATATTGCTGTCATGTCTAGCCTGGAGCTGCACGATCCTCACTTTCAAGCCTGGATAGAGTTCAAAATCCTTTATAGTCTTGTGAGAGAATACTTTCCACTCTACAAACTCTTTCCCACAAACACAACCTTGCAAACCTGTCACTACTCCATTGTTATTTCCATGGTAAATGTTCAGAAGAGCTCTACTTCCACCGGTTCAGACCTTTACAACAAGGACTTACCATGCCACCTACATGGAGTTTAATCACTCTCATTTCCTCCATGTTCCAAATGTAAGAATAAAGTTTGCCATGACCAACCACTTTGTGTAAGCACTTTCCTGAACACTTCAAAGCTTGAATTGTCTTGGGTAAGACAATAAACTACAGCCAACAGCAAGTTCCTCTGATCAGGAGGTTTTGAGGAGCATGGAACACCAGCAATGACACCAGTGGCAGATGTACAACTACTTTAACCACCAGACCGTCTTTATGTGATGTTTTAACTTATTGAATAAACATGTCTTAATCCCAACATCAGTGTATATGAATATTCAAGTTGAAAGAAATATCTCTAAAATTTTCATTGAACAAAATTTTTTTCACCCACTTAGAGTAGAGGTGTGTGATATGAATGAAAGAAGAGCTAGTAGGAAGTGAAGATTGAAAGGATAGGGAGGATAGATACAGATTGATCCTTAATTTGATGAGATTTAAATTAATAGGCAATGAAATCTAAAGGTGGCTTTGGATTGGGGGGGGAGACTGCTGGAATATAATCTCTTTTCTGCTTTATAAATTGTTCTTTGTTGTGTGAAATTATAATGCAATATTTGCATTAATTTCCTAATGACACATTCCTAAGTTAGATTTCACTTAATTACCAAACTTTATAATTATTTTCCCATCTGTTACAATTAATGGAATATCTTCCCAAATTCTTTTCTCTTCATATGCAGATATAAAATACCTGTGAATTTTTCTGATGACTCCTTATTCTTAAGTTGATGATTGAATAACCTCCTTACAACCACATCACATTGAAACTTGTTTCCTGATTAGGATTGAGTTTCTGGTTCCTTCTAAAATCTTCTCATTCTCTTTCACTCCCAGTAACCCCTTGCATCTTTGTGGTATTGTCACCTTGTTTGGGGTGAAATGATTAAAAAAACATATATCAGAATATCAATAGAGTCATAGTCTTTATAAGTATGTACTAGCAGCATGGCCTGGCATTGTCCGTGCTTGATTCAAAAATCATACAACTCGTACAGCAATCACTATCACTTGACTTAAAATATTTTTGCCCTTCCTTGCCTTTAAAGGAGTGCCCTTTGCCGTGCTGATGTTGCTACACGCTACACTTCTTGCCTATCTCACACTGCAAATTTTTTCTAAGCTCTATACTAAACATTAAATCTGTTAGGAAAAAGAACTAAACAAAATGAACACAAAGCGATCAGCTTTAAAAAAGGACTCATAACTGGAAAAACTGAATGAAAAAATGTTAACAACAAATACTTTTTCACACCCAACCCAGTTCTGCGGAATCAGAATCAACGTTGAGTTTAAGCAAGTGAATGAACCAATTGGAGTAAAGTGCCATGCAGATTTAAATTTTTCCCACTTGTGACGATTTTTTTTTTTTTTTTTGCATGCTAGTTAACATTCGTGTCAGTCAGCTGTTGGCTCTCACGCTGGCCAATAGAATCTTCCAGCCTATTCGTGGCAGCCAGCTATAGGCTCTCACTCTGGCCAGTAGAAAATGGCCGCAAACTACATGAAAACTGCCGTAGAAGCATGAAAAAAATCAATTATTTCCATTATCAATGCGAGTTGGGAAATGCAATGTCGGTCTTGGCCTTCCCGCTAACTTGTAGCATATGCATGTAAATTTTGGTGGAAATCCATCAAAAATTGTGGCCATGTATTACACACACACACACACACACACACACACACACACACATACACACACACACACATCCTGCCTTTTATAGATTAAAATAAGCTATGAAGTAAAGGGTTGTAAAAATTGAAAATACATTTCATATCCCACAATATGTATTTTTTTTATTGTTGTTGTTCCAGCTTTTCTTTTCTTTTCTTGCATTGGAAAACTTAGATCATTGGCTCTAAACTATTTTTTTTTTTTTTTTATACCTATGGGCCACTTCTACTCTTAATTTTTGTGGGGGTGGACTGCCATAACCATTCCATGATAAAAAAAAATCTTATTTTATTTTTTACTAATAGACAAGTTTAATAATTGTATTATAGAAATATTAAATCTATATACTTTATTTTGAAGTAAAACTAATTTAATGAAAATAAACTTATATTCAACAACTAAATTCTATGGAACATTTATGTGCACTAGTAAAATAACTCCTTATAAACTATTTTAAAATAGGTGAGTAATTAATAAATTTAAAAAAAAAATTTTATATTTGTCTCCATCAATGTCATTGATAGTTGAAAATCACCTCTTTTCACAATGTTGAGTCTATTACAGGCTTTTGATAGTAAGAAAGAAAATCATGTACATACAAAAAAATAATGTGTGTGAGAGTTTGTATTTAAGTTTTGTTGGTCAGATTTGTGTGGTTATTTTTTAAGGTATTTCTCATATAACCAAATTCAACAAGATAATGGAATACTAATAATGTACAGCTGTGCTTTTTCCTGGAGTAGTGGATATTTTTTAGCAGTGTCATTTGTTTTCTATATATTATGCTACTCTTCTTTAAATTTTGCTTGCAATATTTCATCACTCTGCAATTCAATGAGGGCCTCCTGCAAATAAATGTCTATATCAGCAACATTAACCTCAAAAGGAATTGTCACCCCAAGTTGGTATATCCATCATGAGTAGCTCACTAAACCAAACTTGTATATCTTCATGCAAATTTTTCCTTACCCCAGTAATGTTACATGGACCCTGGTTGAGAATCAGTGACTTAGATGATGGATTTCCCAGAAATCACAACTTACAGTTTGTGATGCTTGCTGCAGTATCTATCTGTAGACATGGAATTCATGTTAGATTTATTTGCAAGACTAATGAAGAGGGAAAAACCTTGCATCTTTTTTTTCTTTTCTTTTTTTTCTTCCCCACAAATCTTGAAATATCCTTTAATTGTATTTCTGCCTGAATTCTTTTCAGATAACCAGCTGATAAAATGGGACAAGCTGCTAGCAGACAAGAGAAATTTTGGGAAGCCTGTGGATATGGCAGGGTTTCAGAGGTGAAGAAATATATCAAGGAAGGATCTATTGATATCAATTGGGTTTCCTATACGGTAGGTGCTAATTTTTTTTTTTTTTCTCTTGTATTTTTGAATTGGTAAGATACTTAGAAAATGATACAAGTATCAAAAGATAATGACTTATCAACCCAATAAAATTAGTAAATGTGAGCTCCTTAAATAATCTTGTACCGTTAGTGTGTTCATGTCATAAGGCCTCAATGATATAATCTGTTACCATAGTTTTATTCAACAAATATATAGGCAGTTTTATCTGTTAAGCAACTTGTTAGGACTTATCCTGTTAAAACACCACTTCTTGTCTGATCACCAAAGTTAAGCAATGTCAAGCCTAGTCAGTGACTATTTGGGAATAACAAGTGTTGTACACTTGGATATGCGTGTGGTTTAATGGATAACAACTTGAAATAAGAAATCAAAGTGTCAAGTTCAAATTTGAGTCAGGTTTGCTATATTCACTTATGCACAAATACTTTTGTATGAATCCAACACTCCCTCTCATTAGTTAAATAGTAGGACTTGTATCTGAAAATCATTACCTGCAAAAAAAAAAAACTGTTAATACTATATTCACTTGCAAAAGAGAAAAAGAATTATTCTTAGAATTCAAAAATGTTTTGGTTTTAAATAACATACAAAGGGTTGATAAGCCGTAAAAAACAAATCAATCAATCAGTTAAGCAACATATTTATTCTGCCACTGCAGGTGATTCCAATCATTAGATGATAGCATATTTGAATTTCACAGTCGTCATAGCCTGCTATTGCAGCAGAAAATAACTTTGCCTGAAATCAAAACTAAGACTACTACAGTTTAAAGAACTTGAAAATGAAGTAAAACCTGTTAATAATACAAAGTATTTTAGGTCAAAAACATAATATCAACCAGTGTCTTCTGTGATTTAAAAAAAAAAAAAAAATTAATTCCTTGTTGCTACTTGAGCACATTTGTGGTTCTTCAACACCCACAGAGCCAATATGTGGTTTAGCTGAGTGGACATAGGCAACTATGGTTCTTCAAAACTGCCTTTCCTGCTTTCGGCAATATTTACTAATTTACGGCCCCTCTTCCTCATTTTCATCCTTGTTCCTCTATTCATTTTCTCAAAATTGTGTTAAGCAGAACTTAATTTCTGGGAGAGAATACATACCATATATACTCTGTATAAGCCGACTTCATGTATAGTGTGTTCCCTAAATTTTTTTCACATAAATTTCAACACCTTCCCAAAAAGTTACCTGTGTATAGTGGCAACCCTACTTTTTTGCATAAAATTAATTTATTTCTATTTAATTAATCTATATTTGATTAACATTCATCAAGCTTCTGTTAAAAGAATTTATCAATAAAAACAAAATGATTTTTTTTTATCTATTGACAGCATGATTGTTGCCCTATACACGTGGCATCTCAAGGCAAGCAAGAAATTGTGAAGATGCTAATTGAGGCTGGATCTAAAGTAAACGTCAAAGACAATGTAAGTTAACTACTATTAATTTCTGACTAGTAGTTCTTTCATCTTTCTTTCACTTTATTTTCATTGCAATTAGTCAAGCTGTCACTCTATGGCCGTGAATAAATAATAGGAGACAAAATTAATAAAAATTCAAGATAATACTACAGTGAAAGTTCATTTCCCCAATACTGAAAATTTATGTGATTATTAACCAGAGCAAATTCATTCAATTGTGTGTGGTGCACTCTGTTAAAATTATTTAAATATGGGAAATACAGATTCAAATATGGATACAAGCTAAAGGAACCATTGTAAACCTTTCCAAAACAAAAATTATGATCCAGAATTGGAATGAAAGCAATGATGACACCTACTCTGAATCATCATCAAAATCCAGTATGTGGAATTAGTAAATACTAAACACTTCAAATATGTCGGTGTCTGGATCAATTATAACAAATTTAGTATAAGAGATAAAGAAATTGAACATAGAATAGGCTGCACAAGAAGTAGTTGTGCCCAAAACTGCAAGTTTCTACAAAACATTAACCTAAAAACTCATGTTCTTAAACAGCCTCATCAGATTGAGACTTTTATATGGATGTCCTGTATAGCACCAAACTCCATTCATAAATATTTAAACTGTCAGTCAGATACAACTGCTTTCTCAGGCTTTCGATTGGATGAAGCTTGTAGGCCTTAGCGAAGACTGTACTTCTTTGAACCTTGTGGAATGACGCAACAGAATCTGTACCAAATAACAGAAACCACCTCACTTCGACAACACATGTAACTTGAAATAATGACATAATCAAGATGTTGACATTTCATGTTACTTCAAACAAAAGTTTAGGAAGAAAGCATTTGTCAATACTGGAAAGAGCAACAATAGTTACTGGACTTGGGATAACTTTTCCTAAAAAAAATTGTTTTTATAGAAAGATTTTATAAATTTCAACTGAAAGTAACACTGGCTGCTCAGTCAATGAATGCCAAATATTTCCACACACACACACACAATATATATATATATATATATATATATATATATATCAAAGATTTGATAAAAAGTTAACATTCATGATAAAAAACATGCCCCAAATTTAATAAAAACTAAATTTTATTGTCAAAATCCTTGTTATTACTAGGAGGAAAGACTAAAACATTTTTCGATTATTAAATTGTTTTTTTAATCCTTTAAAATTTTGGTTAAATTTCTATTTTCTTGCCTCAATAGGTGGCCATAAATTACTACAGGAAATTTTAGCATCTTTCTACAATGAAACGCCTGTTGATTCTTGCAAAAATCAAATAATTGTTGAATTTTAATGAAACTTTCAGGAATTATTCACAAATAAATGGAATTACTTTTTGAAATGTTCCTTTTTTTTTTTTTTTTTTTTTTTTTTTTTTTTATAAGAAAATATCCATAAAAATATTTTTTTCACCCCTCTCCAACTTATTTAATTTTATGAAATTCTGAGAAATTCATTTTCATGTGCTTAATGTTTATATTAGTTAAAAGTAGAAGTTTTTCAGAATTTAAATCATCATTTTTTTTTTTTTTTTTTTTTTTTTTTTTTAAACAGGATGCCCAGTTACCTGAAATTTGCTCTCAATCATGAAATAAAATGCAATAAAACTAAGACATTAATTAGAAAAGCTTTTAATTGCTTTTATGAATAAGATATATTATGGAAAATATTGTATTAATAAATAAATTTTTTTCTAATGAATAATGAATTTTCACAAGAAGAGTTTTCATTTTTTAAATTTTAATTAGAATAATTCATAAAGTTTTAAATCTTTTTAAAATTCTGTATTAATTTGTAGTTTTTATGTGATATTGTTATTAAGTAAAAACTATATTCACTAATCATAAATGGGAAAGCTTACTATAATTCAGTGCCCCCCCCCCCCGCCCCAAGTATTTTAAAAATAATTTAGAATATTTTTGTATGTGTATAAACATGCCAATTTTTGTAAAAACTTTGTCTATACATATTATCAGAAAATAAGTGTGGTACATATAGTAAATTTAAAGCCAAAGTCCCTAAAAATTCAAAATTTCAATTTGGAGAAGAAACTGTGATGCTTTAGACCAACTTAGCCATGGAGGGTGTCGCCAATCAAGAAAGTCACTCTAAAGCACGTCAAATTTAATGACAGTTTCTTCTGCAAAGAGGGATGCAGGTTTAAATTCTTCCAAAGATCATATATTTGTGCTTAATAAGATTTCTTTTAATATTCAAGTCGATAGGCAAAAATAAATAAGTATACTGTTTAATAAATAAATGGAACATCTACTCAAATATGGGTATCCACTAAAAATAATGTTTAAAGTGATTAACTTTTGTGTGAAGCTTGAGAAATCCACTACACAGACTCTTAAAATGCTTTGTCAAGCTTTTGGCAAACATTTTTTATGTTGATCCTAAATTTTTTAAGTGGCACAAGTGATTCAAGGCTGGTTGAATGTCGACTCCTGATGATGAGCATTCATGGTGAACAGTCACAAGAAAATGTCAGAAATACAGAAAAAGAAATTTGTAGACTCATCCATAAGGACTGCCGCCAAACAATAGCTCTTTTATTCAATGGAAATCAGTTAAAGAACCTGATTCTAATCCAGGAATTTTCCAATACTACATTGTATTATTTGGACAACTTGAGTACTTGCTGTACAGTAGAAATTACGACACTAGTTTTACAAGTCACCAATAGTGAGTTCATTTCTCACTGAATTCCCTCAGATTGCAGCATTTTACTTAAGTGACTTGGTTAGGACACCTACAAAGTCAAGTTGATTCTGTAAATGATTTTATCTGAGCCTGTAGTGGCTGGTGTTTGCTAGTAAAATTGAGATTTGAGAACTTCAAAGCAATCACATGTAGTCCACAAGCAAGGAAAGGAAATAAATAAATAAAACCTTTCAGGATCAAGTGCCATTTGGTTGGAAGGCAGGGAATTCTAGTCATAATCTGTCTACATTCTAGATTAGCAGTGAGATATCATCTATTATCAAGGAAATGCCATGTAGAGATGGGCAGAGGGATGATGGAAGAGAGTTGGTATTCAGAAGGGCAGTCAGAATTCTTGTTGGCCTAAAAGATGATATGGTCTGTTAGTTTGTTGTGAGAAAAGACAGAAATAACAGTGAAAATGTCCCAAATGACACTTACCTACCTTCCAGACTGTGCTAGATGAATCCACGAATATGAAAACAAATAAATTGAAAATTGGGTTTGTGTTTTCTTTCCTCATCATAGTGATATTCTTCTTTACATTTCTTTGTTGACCATATGCTGAACTTTTCCCAGTTTTGTTTACACTGATGGGAATGTCAAGGCATCATTAAATGAAGCTGTCAAGTTGGCAAAGAAACTGCCTAAGGGTTGTAATTGTATGTTTACAGGTTAACTTTGTCTGGTATTTAGTCTCAACAAGCTTTTATATTTTCAGATAAAAGTTTTCTGATTGGTATAGTCTTTTCTTTCCCTTGAAATATTTTTTTCCATTTGACTTTGAAATGGCTAGCAAAAGCCATTTGTAATGAGTGAGTCAGCCATATTTGTTGGTCAAATGATTTTACAACATGCCAACTCAGGTTATTTAATGTCAATTTTTTAGCATCAGGTACTCTGTTAGGATCAAACTCACTACTCCTTAATAACGATCAACCAGACAAGTTTATAAGCCATTATCCCAGGCACCTTTGACTAGGATTTCAGACTAATATTTTTCACCATCATCCAAGTACCATTCCAAAAGAACAACTTTAAATGTTCTGAGAAAATTTTAAACTATTCCTAAATCAAAACATTTTTTTTTCTAATTTTGTTATCATTTATAGTTGTTAGTAACATAGTGAAAGCACCAATAAAAATGTTTAGGAAATAAATTTAAAAAAATTGAAATGAACTCTCAATGGCTTTAGTAATGAATAAATGCAAAAACAAATTAGATTTTACTGTTTTATAAAAATCGCATCTCTATTTTTATTTAAAAACATTTTTTTTTTTAAATTTTACATGAAAATGTTCTGATTAATTTTCAAAGTAACTTTTGTCAGACTTAAAGAAATGTTCCTTGTGCATTCATCTATATAATAAATGTCAGTGTGTCACATTTTTTTCAACTAAAGGGACACAACTCTCAATAGCTCATCTCCTATATAATAAATGTGAATGTCAGTGTGTCACTGTGTCACACTTTTTCCACTTTACTCCTGGAGGCTGTAGCCCAACATATCATACTATTTTGGAATCAAGCCGAATCAACGAGCAAATTAAAATCATTCCAGGCCAGATCTGAACCTGTAATCCTGAAATTTTTGATTCCCAAGTTTTCATTACTGCAATTGTTTACAGTGTTTTTATTTATTTATTTTTTTTTTTTTAACGTGACATTTTTTGCAACAATTTTTTTGTACAATAACAGTTCTTATAACTTGGAAATAAATTTGGGAATAATCAAAATTAATTGCAAAGTTCAGTGAAAGTCACCCATGAAATAAAAATAATTGTTTGTACAGAAAGTAAGGACCTACATACATTAAATTTTCTTTAAATTAAGTGGTGTCAGAAGAATTATCATTGAACTTTTAAAAGGTAAGCTTAGATATTAATGCAATACTTAAATGCAGTGATCAATTTTGAATTCTTCTGTAGTTTATTGTTGCCTATTGCATCTACTACTCCCTACCTATTATGATGAAGGCCGAATCAAGAGCTCTCTGCAGGAGCTAGCTTAAATGCCACCCAATAGGGCGGCTTTTAAGCTAGAATAAAGAAATATATTATATATTCTATAAAGAATATCAGCACATTTCAACTAATTGCAATCAAAAAACAATTTTTAATTTTTTATCTAAAAATATTTACAATTACCCACTTTAAATTTAATTAAAGATTTTGTATCATCCAGCATTGTTCCATAAAGCCTAACCAGTTCACCCACGCTTATGCCTAATCCCTGGAATGACATTAATCTCGGACCTTGCCTTCAGCCATATTTTATTTGCAGTCAGGACATAATTTAAACCTCTTTTTTTTTTCTTTTTTCTTTTTTTTTTTTTCATTGCTATCATTTAAGAAAACTTATTCCAAAACATTTTCCTTTTTCTTTTTTTTTTCTTTTTAAACTGCTTTTCTTTTTCACCAATTCTAATTTATTGATCTCTTGTTTTAGCGAGGCAACCTTCCACTTCATCATGCTGCCATGAAGGGTCACTCCTCTATCATCAAAATTCTCATTGATGCTGGCTCTGAAATCAACGTACAAGACAAGGTCAGTTGCACTTTTTTTCTTTTTTTTTCTTTTTCTTTTTTTTTTCAGATTCAGAAATCTCTGAAAATCTTCAAACGGAAACATTGAAAATAATGCTAAAAAAAATTGTAGATAATCGGTGTTTGATTAGCAAACAGGGGAGGAGGGTTAATTTTATACTTATGTAATGTTATCATTGTATAGAAAACTAAGTCCACAACAGCAAAAGTTTCTTAATTTATTTCTGAACTACATCCATTAGCAAATGAGTATATGACTTGTGGGGGTGGTCTCCAAACATGGATCTCCTTCTCTGTCTTTTCCCTATCAGGTGGGGCACTTATATATCTTCCTACCAACCAATTGTCCTACATCCTAAGCACTGCTGGGTTTGATAACCTGTTTACATGTTGAGAACAGTCGCTGACATCATGTGAAGTGCAGATCTATGCCTGGTGACTAGGAATTCACTATCTCGGTTATCACTCTGCTATCATTGGCTTCTTTGATACATTGCTGTGAAACTGAGTGCAAAGTCTGTTTTGGTATTATCTGGAGTGATCCCAGTACATATTGGGGTCACTACAGATCAACTTCTCTTAAGAAAAGAAAAAGATTCCTTATTGACATTAAATTCTATTCAGACCATCTGATATTTCCTGGCAGGAATCATATACCACAATTACATCATTTTTCAGAAGGGAATAGCAGTAGGAACAGAAGAGGTAAAAAAAACAAACAAGATAAAATAAAAATGAAGTTAATGAGTTAAAATTGGGGAAACAAGCAAATTTTGTTTGTGTATATGAAATATATATAAATGTTATTTTTAGTAAACGTTGTGTTTATTTTAAACAGTATATTTGTTTTCGTCTACCAGCTTTGAATATTCAAGAAATCTTATTAAAGAAAAACATGCTCTCTCCAGGAGAATTCAAACCTGTGTCCTCTTTTGCTGGAGAAAATATCATTAAATCTGATGTGCTTTAACCAACTTGTCCATGAAGGATGTTGCCAATTAAGCATTAAGCAATGCTGAATACTGCATTATCAGTGACGCCATTCATGACTGAATAAGTTAAAAGTATATCAGATCTAACAACAGTTTCTCCTGCAAAGGGGAACACAGATTCAAATCCTGCCAAAGAGTGCATCTTTTTCTTTAATATAATTTCTCGAATATTCAGGCCGGTAGACACAAATAAATATGCTGTTTACCATCTACTCAAATATGAGTATCTAATAAAAATAATATTTAAAGTGATAAAAATTTGTTGGATTAATAAATACAATAAAATCTAATATATATATATATATATATATATATATAGAGAGAGAGAGAGCATGGACACAACAAATTTTCACCAATCTCTTTCATGCCTGATGCAATCTTCAGGCCATGTATATTGGATCATAACATGACTGTTTATATAAGTTAGTCACTGGAGCATTATGGGTAACAAGATCAGTTATTTTTGGTTTGTCTTATTCTAATGGCTACCTGAATAGGCCAAAACTTATTTTAAATTATTCTGATGGATATCAAATTGAACAAAGTGAGTTGTTTGTTAATCTTTACATCGCTTTAATTTATTAACCCACATTTCCTGAATATTACGTTCAAGCATATGACTATTTAGTGTTAACATCAGTGTCCACATTTCTTATATTTACACATGCTCTCAGATATTGAGCACTTTTAACCTATAAATATAGCAGAATATATATATATATATATATATATATCACTTTAAATATTATTATTAGTGGATACTTGTATTTGAGTAGGCACTCTGTTTATATATTAAGCAGTATGTTTATTTATTTTCACTTGCCGTCCTGAATTTTCAAGAAATCTTTTTAACAATAAATGGTGACTCCTTCTATCCTATGGGACACAGGTTCAATTCCTACTGAAAAATGTAAATAAAAAATCTTTTGGATTAATAAAACTTCATTCTAAAATATATATATATATATAATTAAACAAAATTGACATGGTACTTTTATCTAGTTTTTTTTTTTATTATGTTTTTCATGTATACATACAAGTTTCTTTTTGGCATTTGAATGTAAAAATTGTCCACAATTTTGCTGATTTTTAAGTACTTTGGGCTAAAATGTTTTTAGCAATTATTTTTGTTATACTTCTATAATAAATGGAGTGTAAGTGTTATTATAGACTGTATAAAAGTTAGCAAAATTTAGATATAAACAAACAATATGGCATGGAGTCAATTAGATAGGAAAAGGTGCCCATATGATTAAAGCTGAACTTTATATACTAAGTGTGGTCTCTATGGCCAAATTGGTAATGCTTCCAAGTACAAAGGATGTGAGTTTCTATATTATCAAATGCTGTTTCTTTATTTCTGAGACATGCTTTATAGTTTAACAATTGTAGAATGTTAAATGATATGAGAATTGCAATGAAAGCAACAATAATACGATGAAAGATAAACTAGCCGGAAATTAATGAAAACACTTCTGCTTGTTAGAAAATTTGGTTTACTGTGTTGCGATAGACAATTTTTCTCGCCAGAATCTATCTTACACATTTATAAGTCTACTATTTGTCTATGCATTGAATATTGCTGCCACATCTGGTCTGGTGCCTCTATATATTTAGAGATTCTTGATAAAATACAATCTGCTATGTTATTGACCCTGAACTGGCATCTAGTCTTTAATCACTTTCCCACCACTGTAATGTAGCTTCTCTGTGCCTTTTCTCTATATATTTTCACATAATATTCTGATGAGCATTTCTCTTTGGTATCTTGACTTTATGAATTTAAGGGCAGTACTAGATTCATGGCTAGGTATCATTTTACATTTGAAATTGTTAGATGTAATTGTAAGCTATAAGCTAACAGTTTCTTCTCTCGCACTTCTTGTTTGTGGAACTCACTTCTGGTTGGTTGCTTTCCAGTTTAAATACAATGTCAATCATTATCTTCTGTCTTAATTCCTGTTCTTTTATTGTTCTCTCTCCTTAATAATATTTTTCTTTTTCTCATTCTTTCACACTCAGTAACCCCTTGTAAAGGGTGTTTCATTAAGATGGATCAAAGTCAGCAGTAAATAAATCAATGTTATATTGAAAATTTATTTATTTCTCTATTGGATCATGTTATTTAAGTCATGGCAATTATGTGGTAAAAAATAATATTGCCCAAATATCCTCCAAATCTGAAAAAAAAAAAGAAAATATCATTAGATGCTTAAACTTAATTCACATTTAAAATTGATTCAAGTTATTGAAATAGCCTTTATCTTGCTTGAGATGAATTGATGATAAAAAATTCTGGAATTAGGAAGTGACTTGACAAAAAGTAGAGGCTGCTGAAGGCAGCATTTGAGTGATTTTTTTTTTAACAGATAATGTTGAGGAGCAGAGTGTTGCAACAGTTAGGGCCACAGAAAACAATTATTGGCGTGAGTTCAATTCCAGCTGAGGTCATTTACATTCCTTTTACACTTTATTATTATTATTATTATTATTATTATTATGAAGCTTATAAGCTTGACAAAGTCTCAGATTAGTACCAAAGTTAAGAATGAAGCAAGGCTCAGATTTTTTAAGTATCTTTATTATAAATTAAAATTTCAATTTTGAATTTTAAGCATGAAATATGGTTCAAACTTGAGAATTTGTTCAGCATCATCAGCCTCAGCTAAAATTGCTTACCTGATGCTAAGAAAAAAGTATTACTCTCTCTTGGGACAGGGTAACTTCATTTTAAAAAAAAAAAATCAATTTCAAGTTTTTTTTTTTTTTAATCTTCTTCAGTCTAATGCTATAGTTCTTTATTTTCTCTTGTAGAATGGATGGAGTCCATTGCATTGTGCTGCCTATTGGTGCCACCCAGAAGCTGTTGATGTCCTCATTGAACACGGATGTGATATTTCTTTGCTCAACAAGGTCAGGTGGTTTTTATTATCCTTTCTTATTTTTGTTGGAATCTATCACTTTAATAATCACTGTTTTATTCAATTTATATAATTTATTTTTAGGGGAAATGGACATGTAACTTAGCTATAATGTAAACAGGTCCTCCTCATTTTCTTGTGCCAGTCTTTTAAACCTGGCATTCCTCATCCTGAATGGAAGACTAATGTAAAGGGTTATTCAAAAAGAATGAACCGATTTTGTAACACATCGCTTCAGTTCTCAAGCATCATCATGGAATGAGTCAGTGACTATTTGAAAGAGGAGTTTTCTAAATTTTGAATGTCTGCCACAAGGACAGTGTAATCATATCGTATCTCCAGCAATGTTCAGTTGTTTGTTTACCCTCAGAATATCGAGTCCTCAGCAAAAGGCATTCAGTATTCTCAAATTTGCAAAAACAAATACAGTTGTCAGAGTGCAGGATGATTTTAAAAAGGTAATTTGACATTAAACCACCCTCTCTTAAGAATATTCAATGGCGGTTTAAACAATTTTAAGAGAGTGTGTGTCTGTGTAAAGGAAAAAGTTCAGGACAACCACAAGTTTCAGAGGAACAAGTGGCAAGAATACATGCTGCATTTAAGAGGAGTCCACAGAATTCCACACATCAAGCTAGCCATGAGCTTGTGATCTCTCAATCCACAATCTGGCATGTGCTAAGAAGATGTCTACATTTGAAACCTTACAGACTATGCCTCATTCAGCCACTTACCAAGACCTTGCTCTTTGTGCTTGGCCTGCGAGATCCCCACACCTCACTGTGTCTGATTTTTTTTCTTGTAGGGATACATAAAACATCATGTTTATGTTCCAGCACTACCTGCTAACCTCGATAACGTTAAACATCAAATAACAACAGCGATTAACTCAGTGTATCGTGATATGCTGATATGCATCTGGGAGGAATTCTCTTATTGCATTGATGTTGCCTGTGCTGCAGGTGGTGGCCACATTGAACACTTGTAAAGCAGGAAATAAAAGATGATTGTGAGTAGAATACTTATGACTTGGCTGGAGTTTTCTATTGCTTTTCCTTATTAAAATATTGTTTAATGAAATTGGTTCATTCTTTTTGAATAACCCTGTATTTGAAAATTTAAGTTAAACCCTGTGTTCTTAACTGGAGCTACATCTGATTCTGCAGAGGAAAAATTCTTGTTGCCTTTCAAATTGAGTGTCAGTAACAATTATTGACACAGTTGCTGATGATACTAATCTTAACCTTTATACCTTTTCCAAATCCTCTTCAACTGATAAACGTATCTTTCAACGTAACATATAACCCTTAACATTTCAGCTCTCGGGAGAATGCCCACATTTTTATGGGATCAAATATTCTCTCCTGTATATGCTAAACAGTTATCCAATAGATAACTTAGCATATCTAATAGTACGTAAGGTTCGCCCTTAAAAATATCTTCCAGTTGAGCTATCTGGTAGTCTACTATTTACCCAGACACCACAAACTACCAGTAATTGTACATAGCTTAAATCTATAATACTGTTATAGAAAAAAGATAGGGCTATGCCATCAAACATGTTAATTTCAGTGACTTTAGAATCGAGACATTTAACAAGACATTTTAAGCCATTTTTTGTAATTATCTAAATGTTAATTATACCAAAATCAATTAATACAGATTACATCATATTGGCTTGATACAAGAGGGTGTCAAAATTTTTCAGCCCAACCAAGAAACTCTACTAAATAAAAGAAAATAAAAAAACATTTCATTATTTGGTCAGATTTTGTGAAGTGATTTTGACATCACCTCACATCTATACCATCTAGAGATTGAGGTTACTTTCTGTAACCTGTAGGGAATAAGGTGATCATTTGTAGCATGCAGGGACTGAGTTCACTTTATGTAGCATGTGACTTTGCATGGCATTTTGGGAACAAGCTGATTTTGCTTAGTGTATAGGGACCAAGGTGACCTGGTGTAGCATATATTGACCGTGCATAGCATTTTGGGACTGAGGCAACTTTGCATAGTGTTTTGGGATGAAGCTGACCTTGTGTAACATTTTGAGACCAAGCTGACTTAGTGTAGTGTGTAGGAATCAAGATGACCTGGCATAGCATGTAAGGACCAAGGTGACCTGGCATAGCATGTAAGGACCAAGGTGACCTGGCATAACCTGTAGGGATCAAGGTGACCTGGCATAACCTGTAGGGATCAAGGTGACCTGGCATAACCTGTAGGGATCAAGATGACCTGGCGTAGCATTTAGGGACCGAAGTGACCCAGCGTAGCATGTAAGGACCAAGGTGACCTGTTGTAGCATGTAGGAACTGAGGTGACCCGAAGTAGCATGTAGGGACCGAGGTGACCTGCTGAGGTGACCTGGCATAGCATGTAGATACCGAGGTGACCTGGCATAGCATATAAGGGCCGAGGTGACCTTGCATAATGTGTAGGGACCGAGGTGACCTGGCGTAGCGTGTTGGGACCGAGGTGACCTGGCGTAGCGTGTTGGGACCGAGGTGGCCTTGCATAACATGTACATACCAAACTGATTTTGCATAGAGTGTAGGTACCGAGGTGACCTGACATAGCATGTATAGACTGAAATGATCTGGCATAGGATGTAGAGACCAAGGTGACCTTGCATAGCATTTGGGGCCGAGGTGACCTTGCATAGTGTTTAGATACCAAGGTGATCTTTCATAGTGGACAGGGACTGAGGTGGATTTACAGCAATTAATTCTAATTTCATCCTGTCTGATAAGATCTTAGTAAATCACCAAACTTGATTAAAAATTTTAATTCATGCAATGTTGTATGTATTCTATGTCTAGTAATATTAATATTAGCTGTTTCTTTATAAGTAAACCTTCTGTGTTCCTTGACCAAACCCCCAGTGCTGCTTGCAGTTGAAATTTATAAAATCTTACTCTTAAAATAATTTTTCAGGTAAATAGATTTCTCAAGCCCAGCAGTTGTTATTGCTCTTTCCACTATTGATGGGGGCTTCCTTCCTAACCTTTTTATTTATTTATCTTGATTATGTCATTATTTTCTCTTCAAGTTATATGTGCTATCCATTTTTTTTTTTTTTTTTTTGTTGCTGGTGAAAGTCCTCAAGATGTTTGGCTAAATAAAGATTTGCTAACTGAATAAAAGGCTAATTGGGAGAGAACATGATGAAGCAATGATCATCTTCATGCTTATACCAAATTTGGAATTTGAATGTTTTTTTGTATTCAAATCAGCATGGAAAAAAATCGTCTGTCAACATAATATGAATCAAGCAATGAGACTGATATAACATCTGCAACTGTGTTGAATACTTGAGTTACTTTGCTACAACTACTAATACTGCTTCTGCTGTCTTCTTTCTTTACTATTGCACAATCAAAAATATAGCACTATAGTAATACTGCGTATTCAATGGTGGAATTCTGCTTTCCTTTTCAATCTGTGAATGGAAACAAACCATTTTATAGTATCAAAAAGAATTAAACCATTTTGATAATTTAATAGAAAATATTTATTAAGATATTTCCAGAAAGAAATTCTGTTCTCTTATTTCTGTTCAGAAGTATGATACTTTTTGACTCTAGTGTCATTAGCTGTTTTATACTTTCTTAGCCATGTTCAAACTAAACTGCTGCAGTACCAATGATCTAATGGAAGACCTATCAAATTTATGACTTGCCACATTTTTTTTTCACTAGGCGTGCAAGTATAATGTTTTACATATATCTAATATCTTACATATCTATGTCTACCATTCATCCATGCTTAAAATATTGCTGCCACATTTGGTCTATTGCTACTGCTATTTAACTAGAGTTCCTTGATAGAACCCAAAAAAGAATCAGCAATATTATTGGCTCTGTTCTGGCATCTCAGCTTCAGTCTCTTTCCCACCGCCATAAGGTTGCCTCCCTGTGCCTTTTCTATAAATACTTTCATGGTAATTGTTCAGATGAGCTCTTTGCTATGTTACCTAGACTCTTTGAATTTAAGCACAGTACTAGACAAGCAATGAGGTCTCATCAATTTACAATTGTGTTGGCGAGATGTAATTATAAATTCTATGCTAACAGTTTCTTTTCTCACATTTCTCGCAGGAACTCTCTTACAACTCCATGCTTTCCAGCCAACTTTATTCTTCAAAAATTTAAATGTAATGTCAATTGCTATCTACTGTCCTCCTGATTACTCTTCTTTTGTTCATGCTCCTTAGCAATGTTTCTGTTTTAACACTTCCACATCCAGTAACCTCATGTGTCTGCTCCAAACTGAGTGAGTGTGGTTTTGAAGCCTGTGGTCATTGAATCCTGACAGTGAGTGATATCAAACCAAAAAACCTGCAAAAACCAGCAGTTCAGTTGTGGCAGTAGTGAAGTTAAGAGCCCTGATGTTAGCCCTCCCAGATTCCTTTGCATACCGGAGAGGATGGGTAACTGGTAACGCACTCTCTCTCTCTCTCTCAACAATGCCTACCGTGCCCCCCCCCCACTCCTGAAAATAAACTGTCTGTTGATACAGGATTTTGATCCTTACTGAGGAATTGGCAATAGACCAATAGAATCTAGAGATACACAACACAAGGGCATTAGTGCAAAATGAATGTAACTGTATCAGAGAGAATTTGAACAAGGACTAACAGTTCCATCTTTTATGCCACTAACCATTGTGCCACCTGCACATCCACTAGATATAAGGGATTCGCCAGCACAGTTAGTGATAAGAAACTTAACCAAATGTGCTGAATATAACATCTCTCAACTAAGTGACAAATTTTATAAGGCACAGTGGAGTAATGGATAGCAGCTCATTTGAAGAGCTGAGTCCAAATTCCAGTTGAGTCCATTACATTCACTTACATGCTAATATTCTTGGGAAAGGTATGAATCCTCTTCTTCTCCCTCCCCCCCCCCCAGCTATGGGTAAATAACAGGACAGACCGGGTTCTATAGCCTTGGATGGCAACTGGTCTACTGCAGAAAGAAATGGCAACCTACTGTGGGGGGGGGGAATCTGTCTTGTCAGTCATGTATTGAAAGATACATGATTACCTAAGCGTGTATCATGCATGGCACATAACTGATTAATAGTGTGTGTGTGTGTGTGTGTGTGTGTATATATATATAAGTATAGTGAATTATGCATATATAAAACAAAGAAATAAGCAAATCTTCAGCACAGTTCTACAAATTTAAATAATTTTTTATTATTTGAGTATTATTTTTCTCTTGAATTGAAAGAAATTAATTACAAAGATTCTTTGCTAAACAACTTTACACAAAATATTTTGTGTATCTTTTGTTACAGTACAACTGAATGAATTGCGTTAGTACAGAAGAAATAAAATGTGTCTTTGAATTGAGGATATGTGGGACACGGATGTATGTTGCTTAATATATACATATAAATTACAGCAGTCAGCTGCATGAAATAAGCAAGGAGATAGCTTCTGCTGTTGACACTCATAAACAAACTTAGTCTGCATGTTTTTTTATGTGTCAATGTCACTAAGTATTTTTTTATAATATTATATACTTGAATAAATATGTGAAAAATGTGAGTAATCAATTAAGTGTGGTCATAAGTTAACTGGAAAAAACTAATTAGCAAACAAAAGTTGATCATTTATATAATGAAGCATCAGCTCCAGAAAAAAACAAAAATTAGATTTATTAATCTTAAGTTTATTGGTTAATAAATATTTTCCAATTTTCAAATATCCATTTTAAGGAGAGAAGATCATATTCTGGAGTGCTCCTCCAAAATTTTGTAGGTAACAACAAATCTTAATCATCTATAAATACAAAGAAAACCGCGCATCTCATATGATGTCACTGATTGGTTAATATATATATGAATACAAAAATTGAAATTTTTGGAGATGCAAAAATGAGTTAATTTCTGTGTGATTTGGTTTTGTACAAAAAATGAGTTTTCAGTGACAGTACTTAAATCTATAGCATTTTTTGACAATTCTGTAATAGGGTTACACTCTCTCTCTCTCACAAATATATATAAGACAGACAAGCAAAGATGCTTGTATGTTGATAGTAGATGGAAAGAAAGCCAACTGAGCTGAGGCAGTAGTAATATTGCGTCATTGCAGTATGTTTTTATAATGTATCTTGATGTACTGTTGAGAACTTGTGTGCAAGAATAGACACCTCATGGATATAAACTTTGAGGACAAAAAATAAAGAAATTATTTTTCTTTTAAATATTACATCCTTAGATTTTGTCTTGTTGTGTACAAAGTTGAGTACACCAGTCGGAAAGATAACATCAAGAAAGAAAGAAAAAGGGAACATCTTGGCTATTTTGCCACTGAGGTTATACCAACAAGTGATGTGAAAATTCAAATCAATAAAGGGAACACAATTGGTGATAAAATGTTGATGGAAAAAAATTCCTGTCTCAAGTCTGTTTTGGTGTTTGTTTTTGTTTATTTTTCTGATGAAACACCCCCCACCACCACCACCACCACCAACTTCCATTTCTGTCCTGTATTGATTCTTTATTTTTGGTTCAGGTTATGATTTTCACAATGTTAAAATGAGTGTTGGATAAACACAAGAGACTAAGGTGGGTCAATAAATCTGCAGCTTGACATGTAATTATCAGTTGAATTATGGTCTAAAATTTTCACTGTATAATGTCCACTGAATCAAATGCAATGAAATTGAAAAAGATTATGTTGAAATAACAATCATTTGTTTAAACATTTTTTTTTTTTTTTTTTTTTAATAGAATGGATATGGGAAGGTTTGGTTTATTTTGTTTTACAGCATATCAACCTCAATGGGTTATTTAATGCCGACAACATTTTTAGGATAGATTCATATGAACAGAATATGTATTCTTTGGTTTAGATTGGTTTCGTTTATTTTGTCCCACATCGCACAATCCCCAATGGGCTACTCAATGCTGACAAAATTCTTTATTGCTGGTAATATTTTGTTTAGTCAAAAATCTGTTTCTCTTAATATTTTTCCTTCAAAATTATATTGCTGGTAATAATTTTTCCAAAAAAGTATTGCTGGTAATAGTTAACTATTTGCCCATAGCTGGGACCCTAACAGGTGCTACCCCGGGTGGTTCCACACTACTCAAAATCTCCTGATCAGAGGCCTTGCTGCTGGACGTAGTTTATCATCTTACCCAGGACGCGGATGTAGTTTAACGTCTTACCCAGGACGGTGATATGGGAAGGGAATGAGCTTTTTGTTGATCCCAGCTTCTACCTTCTTTTCCTTGCAAATGAACAAAGATGGTTGAATGTACTTGTAATATATGCCTTGCTTCAATTGTATGTGTTCAAATTTCATCCAAAACTCATCCTCACTTTGTACTAATGCCATTAGTAAGAGCAAGAATTTATCTTTTATCTCACTAGTTATGGGTGGGTTATACTTGGAATAAGAAAGAGACCGTCGGAATTTCTATGACATAATGAGGAAAGAGGGCTTTGAGAATTTGACACCCATAAGACATATTGAAGGCAAGTGGAGAAGAGGGAAGCAGCAAGTAATCTGTTTATTTAAGCTTGTGTAAATGGATAGTAGAACAGGGATTAGGAGAGATAGTGAAAAAAACAAACCTTACTAAAAGCTACAAAAGATAGGAAGTTGTGGAGATCTATAATCGCTCATGTTCTGAAGGGACATGGCATATAGAAGAACTTATGGGTGAAAGAACAAATCAAGCCCTTTAGCTTAGTACTACAGCCAGTCTAAAAGTAGGATGATTCTGAATTTAAAACCAATTTGAGGAGGGACAGGCTCTGTCAGATTATCTTGTTGTTTAGCTGCAGAGTAAATGATGTCCCAACGACCTTTAAATGGGTTCTACTTCTTCTGTGTTTTGTGTTCCTTAAGAACATGGGTGATCTTGGCTCTCCACAACTTCCTGTCCATTGTTGCCCTTAGTAAAATTTGTCATTTGCTTTAAAAAGTTTCTTAAATGAATTATGAGTATTTATCTGATGCCTAAAATCATATTCTAACTATATTTTTAACTATTCTTTTATATCTAAATAATATATTACTTAACTATGGGTTAAATAAGCCTCACCAACCTACAGTTGGTCAATTGTAATGAGTACAGCTACACTCTTGAAGACATTGTCTATAAGGGAGTAGTTCCTCCAAGGAGTTAGAAGGCTCTGGATATATTCTCATTAGCTTTCATCCATGGTGTCTTTTTTTCCCCTCTGTCCCTCTTGCCTTCAATATGTCCTGTGAGGGTCAAATTTTCCAAACCTTCTTTCCCCATTATGTGCCTTAGAAATTTCAACTATATCTTTTTGATGCTATGTATAAGTTTCCTTTTTGTTTCCATTTTCTCTAAAACTTTGTTGTTGTTCATGCATTCAATTCATTTTATTCTTGGCATCCTTCTACTGAACCACATTTCTGTTGTCTCAAGTCTCTTCATCTGTGATGAGATGATCAAGCATTCACTGTCATGTAGGAGAACCAAATAATGGTGAAATATGAAATAACCTTAATTATTTCATATCATTTGAGCCTCATTTAAATATTGTTTATTATTTGAGTTTGATATACTTTATCTAAATTCCTTTTTCATTGACAGGACCAGCGCAGTGCCTTGCATGAAACTTGTCGAAGTCCTGAACAGAATGAACAGAAACTGGGCCAGATTGCTAAAATCCTCATAGACAAAGGCAGCGATATTAACATCAAAAGTAGTGATGAGGGGGAGGTAAGCAAATTGGTAAGCGAAGCACGTTTTCTTCTTTTGCATCCAATCCAGATGCATGTGTCACTCACCCTGGAAGAGGAAGACAAAGTGGAAGAAGTGCTTTGTAAGCTAAGCTTTGATTTCTCTTTTTACCGTTCTCTTTTCTTTTTCTTTTTTTTTTTTAATTCATACTGACTCCAAAGAGAATAGGGAAACTCAAACTTATTACTTCAGCTTGATTTTAACCCCCCCCCCCACCTCACTCGACAACTTTTCCATAATCTTTGAATTTATTTTAACAAATATAAGCTGACTATTTCAGCATGGCTTTTATTTTTTGTATTATCATTACCACTGTCCAATAATTTGACTCTTCCAAGAACTCAAAGGCATGTCTTTATTTTAAATAATTTTATCTGCTTATAAGTAATAAAGATCTTTTTCAAAAGCCTCTTTTATGTTTTTTAACATCATTACTATCCAAAAAAAATGACGGACATGTCGTTAGTGTAACAATTATTGGTACAGACAGTGGAATTGGCAAGCCGAGCTAAAATTCCAGTCAACTCTGTTATATTCACTTTCGCACTAATGCCCTTGGGAAAATTATGAATCTATCTTTTCTCCCCTCCAGTTACAAGTTAAATATAGTAGACTGTTCTCTAGCCTTGGGTGGTAACCAGTCTAGGAAAAGGACTAATGTGAATTCAAAACCGTGCCAACAACAATGTGAAACCATTCCATTATCTTTCCCAAGCAGTCATGTGAATTCATAGATAATAAAGACAAAAGGAATATGTGGAGAGCCATGATTACTCGTGTCCTGAAGAGCCATGACATATTTTTTCACCTCATTACTTAAAGGTATCAATCTTCCTATAGATTTATACAAAGTTGCAAGGCATTTGCCCCCCCCCCTTCCACACACACACTTTTTTAGCCATTTGCTTTCTTAAACAAAACAAATAAAAAGAAATTAAATAAAATATGTTAAGAAAGGTAAGATATTATCAAGATTTAAAAGCATTCTAAGATGAATTACAGCCTCCTTATCACAGTGATATAACAAGAGCTGGAATTGGAAAAGTTTTGAATATTTGCTTTGTAACTCCTTGAATATTTGCTTTGTAACTCCTTACCTAATTAATGACATTAAAATAAACCATTAATTATCACCTAACACAGACCTAAAATTAATTTACAATATAAACATATTACAACATTACAAATCTGAACTCAATTAATGATCTATTTAAATAATTTGTAAATCATTTTGATTATTATCCAATCTTTTTCAAACAGATAATACTGCTTTTTTAATTTGGGTCTGAACAAGATAGGAACAATTATTATGCCAATAAAACTCTTAAGCCCTCAACATTATCAAAATCAGTAGGTTTAATTTGGTGGTATAGTGGGGTTTATCAGAACTTGATTGGTGGTGACACTGAAATTTTTTGATTTATTTGTTTTGTTTTCAAAGTAATTAGCATCTTATTCTAAATCAAAGTCATAACCTAACATCATAAACCTGAAACTAATGAAGTATAGACTTCCAAATTTACTTAATTTGTAAACCATTCTGATAATCTTGTTCAAAGTCACATAGAATAATCTTGCCAAAAAATGCAGAATAAATTTCTGTTTTGTCTTGAGTTTTGAAACTCATATCTTATACGAGAAAGCAGTCATTTGTGGTACACATGGATTATGAAAACAGATTGATAAAATACTGTTTAAATTTACAATATCAAGATGATAATGATTAATGATAAGAAAGTATTGAACAATCTTCTTCATGTGTAAACATTCAGTACAATTCAATATTTGACAGTGAAATTTTAAAAGTTCTTTAATGGAAATATTTAAGGAAAAAAAAGGGCCGAAAACAACTTCTCATCTACAGAAAAATAACATTACACTGTGTCATATTTACATAACATAGATTAATTATGCTATATCTTAGTGGTGAGCATAATTATTAATTAACAGGTAATAAACAAGAGGAAATTTTGTACTCATTAACACCTGGCCCACCTTTTCTAGTTTACCCCTTTCTACACCACTGCTCTATGATCAGTATTTGATCTGCCTTTTCAAGTCTTAAGTCTGTGTACAGTCTTCACTATTCAAGCACATAGACTTAAAATATCAAATAACAAGGGGCTATAAGTGGCTATTCATTAATTCCTTGGGAGTGAAATGATTAAAATAAACAATATTACCTTCATCCAATTCAAGGAGCTCTCCTTTCATATCCTCTCACACTTATCCCAGTGTCTATTCCATTGTTCAAAATAATCTTCACTCTTTTGGGATTACCATCATCTGTTTTATCATATTCCCTTTAATCTAATCTGAAGACTCTTCCTTTCAATGGCAACATTTTAAGTTTTGGGGAAGGCCAAAAGTTGCAAGAAGCCAAATCTGATATATGTGCACAAGAGGCTAAGAATGAGAAGGTGCACTGTCATGATGAATGCGACAGTTACACAACACAAGATCACTCAATGGCGTCTCATTGTTGACTGAGTAACCCCACTGAGGAGTGTTCTGTAAGGTCCCCCTCGGATTGGTTGCCAAGTTGAGGCTGCACAATTATGATTTTTCCAGATAAGTCTTACTATTTAACCCGTAGCTGGAGAGAGAAATGGATTCCTACCTTTTCCAAGAATATTTGCATGTAAGTAATGAACCCAACTGGAATTTGATATCAGCCCTCCGGTTTCACCTTCCAGGCTACTGTCCTTTCCACCCCCCTCACATCCACTACTGAAGGCGAATCAAGTGCAATAATAGGCAAGGTTATTTAAATTATTAGTTAGATTTTCTTTGAATTCATTAATCACCACCATAATTATCAACACTGTACGAGTGTTTATTAATTCTATTTAGTCAGCTGTTTTATTGAAGTTGTTGTCTTCCTCTAGGACCATGTGTTTGGTAAACATTAGTCCAACTTTTCTTTTTTATAAATAACCTAGCAGTGTTAGACCTTGATGGAGCTTAATTGTTCCACTGTAAATTAAATGCATGGAACTAACTTTAAGCTTTACTGACAGATCCAATTTTGGGCTGTTTTGCAGCTAAAGCTCCTGCGACTAGACTTTAGAATCTTCTTCCAATCGTTTTACTTAATTCTTACTAATATTTATTGCTGCATTTGTAAAAATGTTCCAGACTTTAATATATAATTGCTTATAATATTGTTGATTTCATAAGAAACAGATTGTTCTCTTTCTTATGCTGCTTATAAATATGTGTGTTTGAATGTATTACTATTGTAATCATCTATTTTCTGTATGTTTGTATCATAAAACACTAAGAATAGCATAATATAATGTAATTTTTATTTGCACAGAAGAAAATTGAAGCAGTTTCAAGTTCAATCAAGCCATTAGCTTCTGAGTAATTTTTAAATAAGTATAAACTGATCTTCCTACCACAAAAAATCTGTCCAACAGAAATAGCTCCAGGTTTATTAACTGCAAATTAGCAGCGGTAATTGAATAATAATTAAGCCTAGTGAGAATTAGCATTTTCAAAAAAAATATGAATCAGAATTGATTTGATATTGAGCAGAGGCTGCCACTGGCAGTATTTGAGTCCAGTTAAAATACCACATACACAGCAATGCTGTGTACTTTTCTTTGCAAGTACTTGGATATTTTAAATAATTCTTGATGGAATTGGTCGAGTCTATGGAATATTACAAAAAAAAAAAAAGAATCAAAGTTTGGTGCGGCAAGAACAGCTTTAGTGAATTTTTGCAACAAGTTCATCATAAACTGTACAGAATAACATCTCAGCTGAACTAGGCTTCAAGTTTGAATTATATCATCTCTTTGTGTTGCCTTGAAATCATAAAAGTTATTCTTTGCCCTTTCTTTACAAATTGGTTTGTTTACATTAGACATATCTGCTCAAATTTATATCCTATTTAAAAAAATCAGAGAAAAATCTGTTTAAAGACACCTTTCAACTTTGTTTGGTCATCAACACACTCTGTAGCTGAGAGGTCAAAGCATATCAGATCTAATGATGGTTTCCCCTAGAAGAAGTCGGGTTTGAATCCTGCCAGAGAGCACATTTTTCTCTAACAAGATTTATCAAATATTCAGACTGGTAGACAAAAACAAATAAATATACTGCTTAATAAAGAAACAGCATCTACTCAAATAGAGTATCCACTAAAAATAACATTTAAGTAATGAAAATCTTTCTGATTAATGAATTTAAAAAAAAAAATCATCCTCTTTATATATATATATATATATATATATATATCTATATATATATATATATATATATATATATATATATATAATAATGGACTCTCCTGTCAGTTTCGACGTATGAGGATCTGACAGCTTATTGATTCAGCTATGAAAGTTTGTGCGATAATCTTAAGTGGCATCTAAGACCCGCTAGTGATTTACAAAGGAGGCCACATATGGGGCAAGTGTGAGGATTGTGAGATGAGATCACTGTTAGATTGGCTGACCTTATATATATATATATATATATATATATATATATATATAAAAGTTGGTCAATAATAAACAAAAAATTACCGATGTAATCAGTACTGAAAACATTTATTAATATTAACCACATGACAAAAATGAAGCATGGAGATTAATGTTCCTTAATCTCTGTGCTTCATTTTTGTCACATGGTTAATATTAATAAATGTTTTTATACTGATTACATCGGTACCCTTTCATTTGACTTTTTCATTTAAGTTTAATTTTTACTAAAAACTCTATAAGTCATTTTACATCTGTCTCATTATCCATTTAGAATTGAAATAAATTCTTAACCAAGGTTTTTCTTAGAGGAAAATAGTTTTTAATTAAACATAGAGAATTGTAAAGGTATAAATAAGTCATGTCAGAAACAGACATTTTCTCTTACAGAAATTTTTCAACCTCACAAATAAAAACCCACCTATTGATTTTAAAATGTTTGGTTGTTAGTTCCATTCTAAGGATTTTAATTTATTCAATAAAAGAACCAGA